GGGATTGCATTGAATCTGTAAATTGCCTTGCGTAACATGGACATTTTAACAATATTGATTCTTCCAATCTGTGTAAGTGGAATATCTTTTTATTTTTTTGTGTTCTCTTAAATATCTTGCATAAATTTTTAGTTTTCATTGTAGAGCTCTTTCACATCTTTGATTAAGTTAATTCCTAGGCTTTTTATTTTATTTGCAGCTATTGTAAATGAGATGACTTTTTTAAAATTTAGTTTTCAGATTGTTCACTTTTGACACATAGAAATGTTACTGATTTTTGTATGTTGGTTTTGTATTCTACAACTTAATGAATCTGTTTATCAGTTCTAATAGTATTTTTGACAGAGTCTTTAGGATTTTTCAAATATAAAAACATATTATCTGCAAAGATAATTTGACTTCTTCCTTTCTAATTTGGATCCCCTTTATTTCTTTCGCTTGTTTGATTGCTCTAGCTAGGACATTCAGTACTATATTGAATAACAGTGGTGAAAGTAGGCATCCTTTTTACATTCTAAATCTTAGAGAAAAGACTTTCAGTTTTTCCCCATTCAGTATGTTACTAGCTGTATGTCTGCTGTAGATTACTTTTATTGCATTGAGGCACGTTCCTTCTATACCCAATTTTTTTTTGTATTTTTGTTCGTTTGTTTTTGAGATAGGGTCTCACTCTGTCACCCCAGCTGGAGTGCTGTGATGCAATTTCAGCTCACTGCAATCTCCACCTATCAGGCTCAAGATATCCTCCTACCTTAGCCTCCTGAGTAGCTGGAACTACAGGAGCGTACCCCCATGCCTGGCTAATATTTTTTTTTAGGAGACAAGGTTTTGCCATGTTGTCCAGGATAGTCTCAAACTCCTAGTGCATCCAGTTTTTTTTTAAGGGTTTTTATTTTTTTATCATGAAGGAATGTTGAATTTTGTCAAGTGCTTTTTCAGCATCAACTGAAATGATCATATGGCTTTTGTCCTTCATTCTGTTGATGTTATGTATCACATAAATTGATTTGCATATGTTGAATCATCCTTACATCCTTAGGATAAATGCCACTTGATCATGATGAATGATCTTTTAAATTTGTTGTAGAATTCAATTTGCAAGTATTTTGTTGAGGATTTTTGCATCAGTGTTCATCAGGGGGATGTTGGCCTGTACTTTTCTTTCTTTTTCTTTTTCTTTTGTTTTGTTTCTTTCCCTTTGCTCCTCTCTCTTCCTTCCTTTCTTTCTTTCTTGACATGTCTTTGTCTGGTTCTTGTATCAGGGTAATACTGGCCTCATAGAATGGGTTCAGAAGTATTCTCTCCTCCTCAAGTTTACAGAATAGTTTGAGTAGAATTGGTATTAGTTCTTCTTTAAATGTTTGGTAAAATTCAACAGTGAAACCATTGGCTGCTGAGCTTTTCTTTGCTGGGAGGCTTTTTATCATGGCCTCAGTCTTGCTACATTGTTGTCTGTTCAGGTTTTAGATTTCTTCATGGTTGAGTCCTGATAGATTATATGCGTCTAAGAATTTATCCATTTCTTCATGTTTCCCAACTTATTGGCATATATAGCCAGTCTATGTCTTTATTTATTTATTTTTATTTTTTGAGACAAGGTCTTGCTCTGTTGTCCAGGCTGCAGTGCAGTGGTGCAATCATAGATCACTTTAGCCTCAACCTCTCTGGCTTGAGTGATTCTCCCACCTCAGCCTCCTTTGCAGCTGCGATCACAGGTGCATGGCACCATGCTTGGCTAAATTTTTTTTTGTAAAGATTGGGTCTTCATATATTACCTTGTCTGGTCTTAAACTCCTGGACTCAAGAGATTCTCCTACCGCAGCTTCCCAAAGTGTGGGATTACACATATGAGCCACTGCACCTGGCCCCCTGTGTCTTTTGATTGGAGAGTTTATTTCATCCACATTCAATGTTATTATTGATAAGTGAGGACTTACTTCTGACATTTTGTTACTTGTCTTCTGGTTTTGTGGTCTTCTCTTCCTTCTTTCCTTCCTTCCTGTCTTCCTTTTAGTGAAGGTGATTTTCTCAGGTGGAAGGTGACTGACTGTGTATCTGTTGTATATTTTTTGATTTAAGGTTACCATGAAGCTTGAAAATGTCTTGTAATCCATTATTTCAAACTGCTGACAACTTAACACTAATTTCATAAACAAACTAATAAACAAGCAAAGAGAAAACTGATACAAACTCTGCACTTGAACTTCATCCATCTGCTTTTTAACTTTTTCCTGTTTCTATTTATATATTCTTATACTCTATGTCTGGAAAAGTTATTGTAGTTATGATTCTTTGCAAGGTTCATCTTTTAGCCTTTCTACTCAAGGTATGGGTAGTTTACACACCACAATTACAGTGCTATAATATTCTATGGTTTTCTGTGTGCTTATTATTACCAGTGAGTTCTGTACCTTTGGATGATTTTTTTATTGCTCGTTAGCATCCCTTTCTTTCAGACTGAAGAACTACCTTTAGCATTTCTTGTAGAACAAGTCTGGTGTTGATAAGATCTCTCAGCTTTTCTTTTGTCTGGGAAAGCCTTTATTTCTCCTTCATGTTTGTAGGATATTTTCACTGGATAGTCTATTCTAGGATAAAACTTTTTTCTTCAGCGCTTTAAGTATCTCATGCCACTCTCTCCTGGCCTATAAGATTTCCACTGAGAAGTTTCCTGCGAGATGAATTGAAACTCCTTTGTATGTTATTTGCTTCTTTAACTGCTTTTAGGATCATTTCTATATCCTTCACATGTGGGAGTTGATTATTGAGGAGTTGATTATTGAATGCCTTGAGGTAGTCTTATTTGAGTTAAATTGGTTCTCTATAACCTTCTTGCACTTGAATGTTGATATGTTTCTCTAGATTTGGGGAGTTCTCTATCATTATCCCTTTGAATAAACTTTATACCTCAATCTCCCTTTCTACCTCCGCTTTAAGGCCAATAACTCTTAGATTTGCCCTTTTGAAGCTATTTTCTAGATTTTGTTGGCATGGTTCATTCTTTTATATTCTTTTTTATTTTGTCTCCTCTGACTGTGTATTTTCAAGTAGCCTGTCTTCAAGCTTACTAATTCTTTCTTCTGCTTGATCTATTCTCTGATGCATTCTTCAGTATGTCAATTGCATTTTTCAGCTCCAGAATTTCTGCTTGATTCTTTTTCATTATTTCAATCTCTTTTTTAAATTTCTCTAGTTGGATTCTGAATTCCTTCTCTGTGTTATCTTGGATTTTGCTGAGCTTCCTCAAAACAGCTATTTTGAACTCTCAGTCTAAAAGGTCACATATCTGTGCCTCTCTGGGATTGGTCCCTGGTACCTTATTTAGTTCATTGGTGAGGTCATGTTTCCCTGGATGGTTGTGATGCTTGTGATTGTTCATCAGTGTCTAGGCATTGAAGAGATAGGCATTTATTGTAGTCTTCACAGTCTGGACTTGTTTGTACCCATCCTTCTTGGGGAGGCTTTATAGGTATTTGAAGGGACTTGGATGTTGTGATCTGTCTTTGATCACTGCAGCTATATCTGCATTGGGGGCTCCCCAAGTCTAGTAACACTGTGGCTCTTGCAAACTTGTAGAGGTACCACCTTGGTGATCTTAAGTAAGATCCAGAAGAATTCTCTGGATTACTCTTATTTTCTTCCCTTACTTTCCCCCAAACAAATAGAACCTTTCTCTGTGCTGAGTGGTCTGGAGCTGGGGGAGGGGTGATACAAGCACCCCAATGGCCATCACCACTGGGACTGTGCTGGATCAGACCCAAAGCCAGCACAGCACTAGGTCTTGTGCCCAAGGCCTGCAGCACCCACTGCCTGGCTATCATCTATATTCACTCAAGGCCAAAGGCCTCTACAATTATGAGGTGGCAAATCCAGCCAGGATTGTGTCCTTCTCTTAAGAACGGTGAGATCCTTCTGGCCCCAGGTGGGTCCAGAGATGCTGTCTGGGAGCCAGGGCTTAGAGTTGGGTATCTTATGAATCTACCCTGTGCTCTATGCTACTGCAGCTGAGCTGGCACCCAAGCCACAAGACAAAGTTCTTCCCACTCTTCCATCCCCTTTCCTGAAGCAGAGGAATGTGTCCCTATGGCCACCACCATCCGAGGCCCATGGCAAGTACAGCCTCACTACTGCCGATGTTCACTCAATGCCCAAGGACTCTTCAATCAGCTTGTGGTGCTGGCCCTGAGCCTCTCCCTTCAGGGCAATGGGCTTCCCTCTGGCCCAGGGCAGATACAGAAATGCCATCCAGGATCCAACTCCTGGAATTAGAGACCCTAGAAGCCCACTTGTTGCTCTACCCCACTTTGGCAAAGCTGGTACTCAAGCTGCAAGACAAAGTCCCCGTTACTCTTCCCTCTCCCCTCCTCGAGCAGGGAGGGGGTCTCTCTCCACAGCCACCACAGCTGGAGATGTGCTGGGTCACATCTGAAGCCAGCGTGTCTCTGAGTCTAACCCAAGGCTTATAGCAAGTCAGCCTGGCTACTGCTGCTAATTAATCAGGGCCCATAGGCTCTTTATTTATCAGGTGATGAATTCTGCCAGGCCTGGCTCCTTTCCTTCAAGGCAACAGTTTTCCTTCTGGCCCAGGGTTTGTCTAGAAATGACTTCCAGGATTTAGAGCTTGAAATGGGGGCCTCAGGACTCTTCCTGGTTTCTTACTGTACTGTGGTTGAGATGGTATCAAAGTGGCAAGACAGTCCTCTTCACTCTCCCCTCTCCTCAAGCAGAGAGAAGGAGTCTCTGCCTGAGCTGCACTGCCTGCGGTTGCAGAAGGGATGATGCAAGCACTCTTTTGGCCACCCGAGCTAGTGTCTCATTAGGTCATGTGCACCCCATGTGCACTGGCTCTGAGTCCAGCGCAGCACCAGGACTGGCCAGTTCTTGTGGCCTAAATTACCATTCAAGTTTATGTAGGATCCCAGGGGGCTTTGGCCCACGGTTGCAGGGTTTGCTGGAACTCAGGTTCTGATCACCAAGATGGAAAAATTGCCTCTGCCTAAGTCTGGTCTACACGCTCCCTCTCTGGGTGCTGGCTAAGTTCTGCTTTGTGTTGCTTTCTGCGGTGACAAGGCAGCACTGAATTCCAATGCAAAGTCCCACAATCACTGTGCTCTCCCTCCCTCAACACTCTCTCCCTCCCCTACTCCCTCTTCATGCCATGTGGCCACTGCTAGGGGATGGAGAAGGATGGTGTAGTTGGTCCAAGACTGTCTTTCCTAACCTCTTCAATGCCCCTTTTCTTAATGTGATGGTAAAACTGGGGACTGTGATCACTCACCTGATTTTTGGTTCTTATGAACATGCTTTTTTCTGTGGATAGTTGTTCTGTTTGGTGTTTCTCTGGGAGGGACAATCGCCGGAGCCTTCTATTCAGTCACCTTGTTCTGCCTCCTCCTCCTCTCTATTTCTTTATGTTGATTTCTGAACATCTTCAAAACTCTGCATCCTTGAGAACCTTCAGTCCTTCAATGTCATTTATGGTTCAGCTGGATCTCACTGGTTTATTCCTTTAAACAAATAAAATACCACACCTTTTCCACTAGGCTACAGAACCAATAAAGCAAGGAAGGGTAAAACCGGAAAGAATTTGGGTGGAAACCTCCGAGGAAAAATGTGGTTTCCATGGTGGAAGGAAAGTTGACATTTCATTAAATTGTATTAGACAATAAACTTATTGAGTGTTAGACTACCTCTCCCCAAAGTCCTATAAAACACCTGGGATAGTATAATTTACCTGTCAGGAAGTCTTCAAGAATTAGTTGATTACTGCAGACTGAATCTTCCCTCAGCTGATGAAGGTGGGGTGAAGTCACTTTAAGAGTTTGCCTTTAAATCTGTTCTATTGTTATTCCTCACTTGCCATATGGCATATCCACATCACCTTCTTTTTTGCATCTCTCTGGGAGTTCCAAGGCGGGGTTGGAATGCCTTGAATACTATTTGAGCCATTTCTTAATTGCCTTTCCCTTTCCAGTCCTCTAGCTGTTGTTTCTGTTGTTTAGAGTGTACATTTGTTCTGCTCAGCCACACTGACGCCCTCTGGGTTGGACTGAGAGGGCTCAGTAATGTTAATTCTCTCTTCTACACAAGGTCTGAACCTGTTGAGAAACAAGACAAAGGACTAACATGGAAAGAGGCCAAGGTATCATCTTCATTACTGACAAAACTAAGTTGAAGGACATAGCTTTTACCTGTGGGCTAGTGCACCTCCTACTGTTTGAATCAGGCCAACTCGGCCATGCAGCCCCAGGAAGGACTGAAGCCCCACTGCTGATTTCCCTGTGGAGGATCAGTTTCCTATGACATTTGTCACGGAGAGGTAGAATGCAGCGTGACTCTTGGAGAGCTTACTCTTAGAAGGAATGAAGAAGAAATTGAGCTGATTATGCCCAGTTTATTCTGCCCAGATTTACAGATCAGTTAACTTTTTCCAACTCTCCTGGAAGGGAGTGAATAAAGCAGAGAGAGGCCAAGAATGTTGCTCTGATTGAGCTCATCCCACAAAACTGGGAACATCGAGTGGTGGAGAAGTGTTTACCCTCCAATACCACACAGTATTTTGCTGAAAGGCCCCAACATGATACTGCTCATCCATCCTTGGCCTCTAATCCACTGGGCTTTCCTGACGGTAGAGCTCTGATACTTACATTTCTCTATGACCAATTCATCTTTCTCTCCACCTTTTCATTGCTGTTGTTTTCATAAAGCAGAGGGCCACCATCAAATTTGGGTAGGAGGATGGCTAGAGTTATAATTCTATATGGAATATTTTGTTGTTGTTCAGGTTTTTTTTTTTTTGTAAACAGTTTATTGAATGATCTAAACTCAGTAGAGTTCAAACATAAAAAAATATATATTTCTTCCAGTGACTGCTCCTAAAAAAGTTCTGGTGAAGCTCACCTTACCTTCCCTAAATGATATTTTAGGTAAAATGTACAGTTATTTTCAGGTTTAAAAATATTCAGTATAATATAATTAATCGAGTTTAAAGCTCCAAACTCATATCCAACTTAATTTTCTTCCTCCTAACTAAAGGAGTGGGCTTTTCTCTTTCATTTTTCTTCCTCTCTTGGTTTTTCTTTTCTTCTCCACTATTTTTTGGCCTTAAAAGCAGAAAGAGGAAATCAAATTCTTCTATTTAAGTGGGTCTGTTTGGTTCTTATTTCCTTGGAGGTCAATGGCTATTTATGGCAGATGTCTAAATGCTGAGCTTCTCATCGACTCAAAGTGAGTCCTTAATGGGATCCTATAAGATTTTTTTTTTTCAGACTCTGTCACCCAGGCTGGAGTGCAGTGGCATGATCTCGGCTCACTGCAGCCTCTGGCTCCTGGGTTCATGCAATTCTTCTGCCTCAGCCTCCTGAATAGCTGGAATTACAGGGTGCCCACCACCACACCCAGCTAATTTTTGTATTTTTAGTAAAGATTGGGTTTCACCATGTTGTTCAGGCTGGTCTTGAACTCCTGACCTCAAGTGACCTGCCCAGCTTGGCTTCCCAAAGTGCTGGGATTATAGGCATGAGCCACTGTGCCTGGCAATCTTCTAAGATTCTTACACAGCACAGGACCTGCTGTGGAAGATGCACTTTGGCATCATTTCTTTTAATCCCCCATCCCACCCTAAGTTTCCATTCTCAGTAAGATTCATACAATCACCTTAACCAAACACAGCAGAAATTTACTTAATTGTCACTTACCAGTGTTGAGTCAAGCCAACTCTTTATGAGGTCTGCTCTGCTCCACAGGATCATTCAAGAATCCAGGATTCCTTGTTCATATCTGCATTTGAGCCTGTGGGAAGGGGGAAGAGGAAGTCAGAGCTAGCAGCTTTGTCTTTACAGCAATAATTTGGAAGTTTCCACACGTCACTTCCACTAACATCCTATTGGCTTGGACTTAGTCACATGACTAAGTCATGTGACTAGCTGCAAGGGGGGCTAGGAAAGTGTAATCTTTTGCAGGCTGACTATATGATCAGCTGAAGCCTTGGAGATCTTTTTAATCATGAAAATGGAAACAAGGAGACTGGATATTGGGGCAGAGTTGAGTAGTCTCTGTCTCTGGTATATATGAGATCATCTTCACACTGTGTTCCAAACTACTCTGCCTTCAGGCCCTCTTCCTAAGTGTGAACCACAGTGACAAACTTCTTCCCCATTTTCTCTAGACCACCAGTGACCCCCTCTGTGATGTCTTCCTGCTTCCTCTTTACCATCCACCAAACATGTCTGTAGATACCTGAGCCCCAACTGGAAACAAGTTTCCATGTTCTTTCTTACTGTGACACATGCTGTTCAAATCACTGTGATAAGTGATGCATGTGTAACCTTAGGATGTCTGGGGAATACATCATAGGGACGCCACACCTAATCCACGTAGAGAGGGAAGAGCTGGGAAAGGCTGCCTGTACGACAGTGATGCCTGATAAGAGTTCTGAAAGAGTAAGCGTTAATTCATGGACAGTTGTCATAAGCAACAAGAACTAGAAGAGAAGAGGAGCATGATGCATTTGCAGAACAGCAAATAGGATACTATTGCTTGAGAGTCAAGTGTGAGTAGAAGTGTGGGATATTTTTAGAATATGAGGCTACAGGGGTAGACAAAAAGCAAATGATGAAGGCCTTTGTGTGCTTTGGCTTTATCTTGAGGCCAAACGGGACTTAATGGAGAACTTTAACTAAGGAAGTGTGACCCAAACCTATCTGCATTTACAAAAGACAATTCTGACAGCTGGTGAAGGGTGCATTGAAGCAAACAAGACCAGGCACTGCTAGGATAGTTGGGAGGCAATTGGAGAAACCTAAGGGAACAAAAATAAGATCCAGAAGTAAAATAATGATAGAACTGCCAACAAAGCTCACATATTCTTTCCATGATAAGAACAATTTTATTCTCTGTTTGCACACTATCTCATTCCTAAAAGGATAGGGGTTGAATTTCAGAAATCCAGCAAGTATTGTAGTGAATATGAATCTCAGTCTAAAAATTCAGATATGCAAGAAATATTATTTCTTTCATTTTCTGTAAATTTCATAATCTGGCCCACTCCTGTTGGGTAGGTGGGAAATTCAGCCTCAGCCATGTTGAGGTTCCTACCTTCACATTAGTACAAAACCTCCGGAGTCCTACGTAACTCCAAGGCATTCAGGGGGTCCCTTTGATGCTCAGTGCCCTGGCAACGAGCAGATAGTCACTGTGCCAGTTCACATAGCTCCAGTGAGTCTGCTGATAGCACGTCATGCCTGCTGCTCAGTGTCCTAGGCCAGCAAATGGAATGGCCACGTTTCTTACCTGGTGTCTTACTACTTTTCTAGGGTTCTGCCTCCCTTTGCTTTCTCTAAACCCACACATCCAAAAAGACTCTGGGAATCTCTTGTCAATGTAGGGGAATTCCCCCTCTTTCCACGTTTCTCCCAGAAGCCTTTTTCTCTCTACCTAGGACACTTAGCTGAACTTCCTTAAAGATTTTAAACATTTCTAAACAAATTCAGAAGGAGAAGTCAACCATAATGTTACCAGCTCAGAAGCAAGAAAGCACAGAATCTGCAAGCTGCGTTCATAGAAAAAGGAGAAGAAAAATAAAAAATTAACATGTCAAAAGTGGTCCTGTCTCGATACCATGATTTTTTTCAAATATAAAGAATTTGTGATTAAAGAAAAATAAAATTAAAAACGAATGAGAAAGTTAATGCTTTGAAAATGCTTTTCAAAGTTAGGTTCAAGACTTCAGCTCTGAGCTTTCTAGTGACCTAGTCAATAACCTAACAACTGTTCATGGGTTATAAGCCACACAATGTATAGTATTCTGTCATAACAGCCTGCACTCGTGAGGGTAACAACTGATAAAAATAAATCTACTAAAGAAAGCACACCAGTTTTTCAGGACCAAGGTGGTTTTACCTAGGCCCGAGACCAGTGGAAGATTTCTTCACTGGATCCTTCTAAAGAGAACACTTTATAATGCAGGCACCCCCAGATTCAGCATCATCCTTACAATAGTGAGTTTTGTCACATTGTTTTTTATAACAATGTAGGCACCAGAGATTTAAAAAACAACAACAACAAACATTTAAAAAGTAGTCTCTGGTCTAGTCAAGGATACAGATAAACAGATAATTGCCACATGCTATTAAAGTACCATCATGAAGGTGTTTCAAAGTGCAAAAAAAGCCCAGATGAGGCAGAGCAATGATACTGGAAGCAGGTGTCCAAGGATGCATTCATGTTGTTAGAAGAAGAAAGGATGGAGGGAGCCCAGCACCCAAAGATCATGGGGGCTGGAAGGAAGATGGAAAATTCTCAGGTCATAATGAGAAGAAAAACACAATCTCATATTCAAAAGAAACTTACACAAAATACTAAAAGGAAATGCATGACTATTATTAGTTATTGTCTTTGTCAGATTGGGCTGCCATAAGAGTGTACTATAAATTGGGTGGCTTACTGGCCAGGTTCAGTGGTTCACTCCTGTAATCCCAGCTCTTCGGGAGGCTGAGGCAGCAGATCACCTGAGGTCAGGAATTTAAGATCAGCCTGGCCAACATGGTGAAACCCAATCTTTATAAAAATACAAAAATCAGCCGAGCTTGATGGTGGGTGCCTGTAATCCTAGCTACTCGGGGGGCTGTGGTGGGAGAATTGCTTGAACCTGGGAGGCAGAGGTTGTAGTGAGCTGAGATTGTGCCATTGTACTCTAAGCTTGGTGACAGAGCAAGACTCCATTAAAAAAGAAAGAGAGAGAGAGAGAGAGTGAGAAAAGAAAGAAAAGAAAGAAAGAAAGAAAGAAGAAAGAAAGAAAGAAAGAAAGAAAGAAAGAAAGAAAGAAAGAGAGAGAGAGAAAGAAAGAAGGAAAGAAAGAAAGAAAGAAGAAAGAAAAAGAAGGAAGGAAAACATTGGGTAGCTTATAAACAATAAAAATTTATCTCATAGTTTTGAGGTGGGGAAGTTCAAGATTAAGGTGCCAGCAGATTCTTTATGAGATGAGGGCCTGCCTCCCAGTTCATAGACACCATCTTCTTATTGTAACCTCAGGTGGTGGAAGGGGCAAGGGAACTCTGGTTCTTCTTTTATAAGGACACTAACCCCATTCATGAGGGCTTCATCTTCATGACCTACTCCCCTCTCAAAAGCTCTATCCCCAAACACTATCACATTAGGGATTAAGCTTCAACATACAAATTTTGGAGGGGGCCACAAACATTCAGTCTATAACAGTTGTTATTTCTAGAAGATCACATTCTAGAACTCATGACACTAAAATAATACTCTGATTTGTATATTTTGCCTTTAGGTTTTCTACATTTTCAATTTTTTATGAGGAAAATACCATGAATATTTAGCAACTAGTTTTGATTATAACAGAAGATCCACATAAAAGTAGCTTCCAGTTCTTGTCACGCATGAAATATTCTAGAATGAAATAATAGGAGGTCTGGGATTTGCTTCGAAATCATGTGGGACAGAGGAAAAGTGAACAGAGGCACAAATGAGCCAAGACTGGCCATGAGTTGCTAATTGTTTCAGCTGGATGATTGATGGGTACATGGGGATTTGTTACACTACTCTCTAGTATACTAGACTTTAAATCTCATAAAAAAAAAAAAAAAGTTGAGAAAACAAATAGATCAGGAGAGTGATCCCGGCCATCAAACTCTCTCTGCTTCAGTTTGCTCAATTGTAAAATAAGGATGATAATAATAGCGCTCAGCTCATAAGATAGTTGTGAGGATTACATGAGTTAACATGTCTAAGATGCCATGACAGTGCCTGATACTTAACTAACATTATAGTTGTTGCTATGATTGCCTAAGCCAGGGGCACAATGACATTTTCAGGATCCCAGGTCCTTCCATCTTTCTGCTCTGCCATCTCAAAGTGTGCCACCAACCATCAATGGTTATGGGATATTGAAGTTGCATTGGGAACTACCATAGCCCTGTCCAGAAGCAGAAAAGAAGTTAGCCTTGTCTTTTGGGTGTGTGTCCCCTTTTAAGACTCAGGAAACTTTCCAAGAAGCCCCCTAGCAGGCTTCTTGCTTCTCATTGGCCAGGATTATATCACATGCCTAAACCAATCACTAACAGAAGGGATATATCCACCAAGCTGACTATGTACCAATCAGAACCTACACCCTAGGACGTTGTGGAGGCTCCTGAAGCATGATGTACAAGTGACTGGAGGAAGAAAAATCATGGGCAGTCAAACAATAGTGACACCTCCTGGCAGGTTTGACAGCGGTGAGCAGGTTCTGTATGACTGGTGTGTACGATAATACAGGGATAATACAGGGAAGAGAGATGATGGCAGGACTGGTGGATTGAGATCAATGAAACACCAGGCAGAGGACACTGCATTTTTTTCATGTAGGCAGTGAGGAACCGTGAAGATTGAGGGACAGGAGCTAAGGAGAACCTGATAAGTATATGAAAAAAAAATCACTGATTTCATTTCAATCAAGAATTTTCCTGAAGATGATGTGTAATCTTACGCAAACTGTATGCACATGATATGCAAATGTACTTCTTGCTCCCTCAAATGTTTTACACACCTGATTGTGGTGTTTGAAAAGCAAAAACCTCGGTACAATCCATTGACTCAGCAATAATATCTCTAAGTTGGTTAGTCAACTAGCCTTGGATTAGATATTCATGTCATAACTTCGTTTCTACTGAGTAAGAACTTGTTTCAGGTTTTGTTCTCATTTCCTTTATGATTTGTCTTCAAGGAGCAGGTGAATATCCACAGCCCTCACAACAGAGTGTCTACCCTCAGTGCTGAGTGTTATTATCCTTATGTGAAAATGAATTCCACATGAGTCTTTTGAAGAAGGCAGAGCCTTTTAAGATACTGTTTTATTACACATGAAAAATGCATTATTTGACTCATTAAAGAAGACCGTGATACAAAGAGGCCAACCTCAAGCTGATGAAAACTTTTCAAATTAACAGGCTGA